ATATATATATATATATATATATTCAATCTATTGGAGTTGAACGTGAAGCTGATGATGATGATTTTTTTTTACATATACTGTATCAATGTTGATGATAAGAAGACAAGTAAGAGTTTTAGAAGACACTGTCCCTTTTTACACAATATTCAAGGCTGTCTTTTGTATTAGCCTATAATAGACCATATAGGTTAGAAAAGTAACCAGATCCCCAAGCCTGAGCTGTTTATTCCTTTCTTCAGCTAATGGGCTAAAAGAGAGGATAGATTTTACTTTATCCTCTTCAAGGCTAAAATTTTGAAAAAAAACAGTGGAACATACCCCCCATGCTATTATTTTTTTAAATCTCACTGTTTAATAATCTACAATGTCAGCCAGAGAATGTTATATGGTTGTAATTTCTTTAAAATGCATCAGGATTTAAATAACTCTAAGCTGCATGTAGGGCAGTATTTCTAAGCTGAGTATGGAGACGTGTTTGCATAAGTATAAGCATCTGGGCCTGAATATGATAGTAGCTTGGCTATCTGGCTCATGCAAATGAATGAGACAAACTCCAGTAATTTTAAAGATTTTTGGTCTGCAGGTATTAACATTTTATCATGCCAGCAGTTTTTTTGTTTTTTTCTCCCAGCAGGAATAACATATTCAGCAGGTTTGCTTTGCTACCTTCTCTCCTGGAGGTCCGATTGGTCCTTGTGGCCCTGCGAGTCCCTGTGGAGAAAGTAAAGAAATGCTTAGAACCTTTCCTCTGATTGATGAGGGGATATCTAATGTAAGACAACCTGTAACTAACTTACCTGAGCACCGGGGTTGCCTTGCTGTCCAGGAGGGCCTGGCTCTCCCTGAGGTCCCTGGAAAAAAAACAAATATATAAGAGATTTTATTATAAACTGACAAGGTCGTCTTCAATAGAAAAACAGAGAAACTGTTGCATAAAATACATTATGTAAAATAAAATATCTCCCAATGGATATATATATATATATATATATATATATATATATATATATATATATATATATATATATGCATTACTAGATTATGCACCCCAAACCTGTAATAATTTGTAGCCAAATGTTAGAATTTTATCCTTTTCAATGCACATACTCAGGGAACATTCTCAGACCTAATTTCCTCATGCTGCAAACTGCTGAACCACAAACAAATAAACAGCATCTCTTCTAGGATAACCAGCTATCAATTACGTTGCCTCATTTCAAGACTCTGGGCAAGTTGTTGATCTTCCATCTCTACCTTGTTGGAAGATTCCCAAAAGAGCAAACAAACCGCTCTGGTAAGATATTCTCTCATTACTGCCGGGTGCTGGCAGGAATTGAGTGGAAATTGTACAACTAGCCATGGGTGTATTCTCTGATACTACTAATGTGGATTTGTTTATATATGTGTGGGAAAGTGCTGGAAAGGACTCATCAGTACTTTTTTTTTTTTCCACTTTTGGGGATTAAACATGCTCAGAATGATTAAAGCAATACAATTTAATATTCTTTTATTCCAGTTTACTTTTGCCTTTCCTTTTCTTTTTTTTTTTATCCTAATTGGTTCAGTCTTAACTTACAATATTTCCTTTGGGTCCGGGGTGGCCATCCGCTCCAGTAACTCCCTGTCATAGGAATAAGGAAAAGAATATCAGGCGTTAAAGAAGCAAATCTCTAATCCACTGAAATAAAAAGCTTTTTAACACCATTTCATCTTTTAAAACTGCTGAGGGGAAAATTCAAAAGAAATTGTCTATTTAATGCAAAGTTTCAAAATCTACTTGCCAAATGCTCATTGTTCGTGCAAAATTAAATCCATAAATATTATAGTTAGTCTTGTCTCGTGGTAGAAATATTTCTGAAATCTTGAAGATAAACTCAATAATGTGCTGCTTAATGTGCAGTCTCTGTGAGATATATTGAGGTAGGTATGTCCCTGTGGGCGTTGTCTGTTCTCTTTGTAGCTGCCCACGATATGCTGGAAATGTATTCTGCTCTGTAAATAGTAAAGCTGCAGTGATGCAGAAGATATGAAATAATAGGAAAGAATGTGATACTTACAGGTGGTCCAGGAGGTCCCTGAGGTCCTTTTGGCCCCAGTAAACCACGAGGTCCCTGGGGTGATAAAGCAGGGAAATGAGATTGAGGGTGATATTACACCAGTGAGAGGTCTAATGAATAATTAAATCCTGTTTCAAAATGATACGTCTGAAAATAACCCCCGTTCACAAATGTCCTTTTGAATATATACTTGCTTCTGACTCAGGTGCTTAAATCTTACTCGTCCTTGATCATATTTAATAACTGACATCCGTCTTTCTTCTTTAGTTCTTTTCCATTGTGTGTATGGCTGTTGACCACACGCATGCTTCTTGGTCAATTTGCCCATTGTTTTCACCAGAACTGTGTCTTAAACCCACTTATGATTATCATTCAGCTAGTATCTTTTGTTAATAATTGCAGGATATGTTATGAACTTTCACAATCTTTGTAGATGACACCATGTTCTATGTAACTTCACCATATCTGACTGTTTGTGTACATTTAAATCAAGCTATTCTGCTTTCTGTACAACTTTGCAAGATCATTTTACTTCGATGTCTATTTTCTATATAGATATAACCCCAGTATTGCTATTTTTTTCTAGTTTTTTTTTATTTTCTTTCCTTTTTGTGTTAAGAATTATTTAATTAAATTTGAATTATATTGAGTAACTCTCAAACAGAGAAGGCTGTTTGTTAAATTACAAATTCTGGCTAACCGAAGGGTCTCTTCGCATCATTGGTGGACACATTTCTGCTGAGAGTCTTTAAATCCAAAGAGGCATCTTTCCCCCACTACACAATCACGCCAGCATTTTTTCCACACGAAAATTATGGTTAAACTGATTTTTATGGGCATGTTTTCAGTGGACAGTAATGCAGTTATTTATTATTGATACTGCTGCATCATCATTGTGATAATTTCTCGTTTGTTAGTCTCTGAATCTGATATAATGGAGGGAAAAAGACTTGCTTCCACACTAGCTGTTTTATTGTGAATTCAATCAACTACACTCTAACATGCAGAGCTGCTTGTGTGATTTATGTGCCCCGTGTGTGTCTGCAGCATATTTGTCTAAAGACGTGTGACACAGACAAGGCTGACTGCTGTCTAAATGGTTATCTGTTTCTTTTCTTTTTTTAATTTTCTTATATGTGTAGCAGGTTAGCTGAACATGGGTTATCAAAGCTAATTATTTAACTGTACCAAAAATAATGTGTATGTGTAAAGTTTTTGCAAAATGTATTAGGAGGTGTGTCAAATATTCTCTGTATTCTTATAAAAGCCTGCTGTGTCAGTCTACAAACCCTGATTCTTCTCTTCTATCCTCCTAAATTCACCAAAGAAAAAGCTGTACTTTTTCTGGACAGAACTAAAACTGTTTTTTAAATTTGATGCATTGACCATTCCTCCTACTTAAAAAGCTTCCATATCATTGTTAACAGCCCCAAACATTGACAACATATCTATAATATTAATCAGAGAATATGCTGTCATTCTTGTAACTGGTATGATTAACGCTGTTCTTAGGGAATGCTACAGTTATATTTCAAACTGACTATTTTGTAACACAAAGTTATGCATAGCTATTTAGTAGACACTGTAGTCTTCACAACTTAATTGGCTTCCTAATTGCAGCACTGATTTCAAGGTTCTTCTTCTTGCTTTCAAGTATCTCTAGATCTATGCACCACCATGTGTCTGATCTTCTGCAGAGCATTGTGCCGTCACTTAGTCAGGGCTCCACCCTCTCTATTTATCTCACTGTACTACTGAAGCTTTCACCTCTTCCCCCTTGTCTTTAAAACTGTCTCTATCATCATTTTCGTTATATTGATTCTCTCTGAACCGCCATCTTTTTAAGGTTGCCTTCCATGTATTATTAGCTTTTAATCTTATACTATCTTGATTTAAATGTTTTTTTAAAACTTCATTTTCTAAATTACGTTTATATTTTTTCATTGTTGTAAATAAAAAAGTCTATAAAATGAAAAAAGATACATAAAATATCTGAATTTTTGTTAAATACAGTATTATTATTACTGTTAATAATGTTACAGATGTGCAGAGTGCATTTGAGAGATAACTAATTTCATTATTATATTTCTATTATAACTTTCTATTATATCTCTTTCTGCTGCATTTCCGTTTGAATTTCTCTGCTATGCCTCTCAGGTCTCACAGTTACCTAACTAGACTTATTGTCCTGACAGAAATGATCCAAACTGAGGCTGCACACCCTGGTGGCCAGAAAGAATCATAACACAATATGTTTTTTGCTTTTCCTTTTCCCTCCCCCTGCTCTCTGTAATGAACATCCTGCCTGAGTGGGTGTCAGAGGCTTTAACAACCCTGATGCGCACTACCAGATTTTCTCATTTCCAGACAACGGTGAGCAGTCTGTTAAACACAGCAGTATAAGGTTAAAAAATCTCAGCCGATGAGAATGTAGTGTAAGGAGAGCAGCCTGCAGTTGATATATAATATCATCACACCACTGATGCAATTACAGGATGACAGGAGGCCCTGAGCACTAACACATCCCCACCCGCCTCCTACCCATCACACAATATCGTGGAGTAAGACTGAATGAAAAAAACAAGCAATCACTCACTGGTTCACCAGGAAGTCCCCTGGGTCCGATCTCTCCATCATCCCCCTGTGAATGAGACAGAGCCAGGGTTAGACTGTGGACAGACAGAGAATGATAATAGAGAACAATGAGAGGATATGTGGGTTATGGAGACTGGGGAAAAAAAATCAAAAGGAGGTGAGATTAAGATCATCTGAGGTAAACTGTGAATAGTGAGAAAGAGGAAATAATAAGAGATTGAGTGGAAGTCATATTCAAAGGTATTTCTGGGAAGAAATACTTGACGCGTCCTCTCAGCTTAGAGAGAAAGGATGGAGTCACAACAGATCTACATCTCTTTGACACAGTAAAATGAGACAGCAGCCGTCAAATCATATTTTCTTAAGTTACCCTCTCTCCATCTTCGCCAGGAGCACCAGGAGGTCCTGAGGGGCCGGGTTCTCCCTATAAAAAAAAAGATATTATTACATTTTACGCTCCCTCAAGGCTGAAATTAGTTTTATATAGCTATAAAAATCTCTTACTCTGTGTCCTTTTTCACCAGGAAGCCCAGCTAGGCCATCAAAACCCCTGTCGCCCTATTAAAAGCAAAAAAAAAAAAAAAAGGAAAAAGGAAATCAGTTTCGTTCCGACGCTGAACTTTTTGTTTTTGGACTGGTTTTATAAAGTGTGATTATAGATGTACAAAATACCTTAGGTCCAGTCTGTCCTGGCATTCCTCTGGCACCATCTGCTCCAGAACGACCCTGCAACAAACAACTGGATGAATAATGGAGGACTTAAAAGACCAACAGCTTTAATGAAGAACATGAGCCACTTATAATTCAGAAAAGTGGACATAGATATTTCAATTAATTTGTTGAATTACAACAAATGTTTCCTCAAACACGTACCCTTCTGCCAGGCTTTCCAGGGGGTCCACTTGAGCCCATTGGTCCACGTGGCCCCTAATGCAAAACATGGTCAATCACAGGCAGTGTATACTTTCCATAATCTGTTTAGTTTAAAATATAAACAGGCATGGTTCTAATAAAAAAGATTTAATGGTTAAACTCCGACATCTTGTACCTGAGGTCCTGCTTCTCCAGATTCTCCCTTGAGTCCTGGTGCACCTGGTGGACCCTGGGAAAGTAAATTACGGTTAGGTTTTTCAATATGGACAACATATCAATGCGTTTATTTTAGTGTTTACTGATTGGGGATGTTATATACACACCAGAGGGCCAGGTCGGCCAGTCAAACCCATCGGACCAGTTGGGCCACGCATAGCCAGCTGAAAAAAGGCAGGAAATAATATGAAACAGATCAAAATGAGGCTTTAGGATTAAGATGTATTAGGGTCTAACAAGGCTGCATCTTTGGTGTGTAAACACGTTTCTTGCTTAAAGACCAAATGCATACAGTGTGTCATAGCTGTTAGCCAACGAATGACGCTGTAACTTAATATGTTTGGTTGTGAGATGTTACCCTGGCCTGCTGCATGATGGCTTGCATCTGGGCCTCCTGTGCTGAAACAGCTGGTCCCTTCTGCCCAGAGTCCCCTCCGGCGCTCAATCTGAACTGTGGAGAAAATGTTACAGACATATTTCACTTATTCAACTGCAGGAAAGAGCATACCACAAAACACCGAAGGGAGAATACACACAACAAAAATATCAGCTCAAGGCAGAGTAAACAAATGCCACTTCTTTGAGAAAAATTAATGTCTTCAATATTTGTTTGTTGCAGTTTTCTTCACTTTAGGAAAAAACAAAAGATGAAATGAGTATTAATCTAACCTGCTATTGTTGCCTAGCAGGTTCAAATTCTACTGCCATCTGGTGGTCACAGGGTAGTATTACAATATGAGTGGAAATATTGGGATGCAGATCATGATTTTCATTTTTTTTCTTTGAGATACTTTGGATTGAACCTTCTACAGTCCTCATGAGGTTGACTGAAAGCTTACAGATAAACAAACCGAACGTGAGACCTGACACCGAATTTCAAAACCACAGGAGCCAGGATGCAATAATACAAATAGTGGATTTGGTGCCGCAAACTTGAGAGAATTCTGTTAAAGTGCAGCACAGGACACAGAATAACTCTAAAAAGTCCCTTTTAAGATAACTGTTTTAGATAATTAAGATAATTAAGATAATAATTAAGATAATTTTTCTACCCGGCCTGTTTGATTGACATCTTTCTTTACCCATCCACTATTTTTGTTGTCAGTCTAACTAACTCTTGGTTTTCTTGTTTATAAGACTTAACCAGCGCAGATTTTAGATATTTGACAAATGTCAACCATCAAGAGTAATAAAAAAAATTCCAGCCAATCCAACCATTGATCAACATTACCACGAATCAAGCATGAAAAATTGATTCACGGTCAAGTTTACCGCATTTCCCTGGATTCCCATTGTCAAATAAAGGAACCAAAAACTCTGCTCGGCTTGAAAGAACAGCAAAACAAAGATGCATGTTTCTCATTAGAAATGGGGTGTTGCATTTCAATGCCGGTCTATGCCTGCGGATATGCCAGAACTACTTGATTCACTGTCCAGACTCAGTTTGCCACACGTCTCCGCCAAAAGAGATCTGTGAATCAACAAAGCCACAAAATTTCACATCTGTACAAGTATTTAGGCCTGAGAGCATCTTCCAAGTACAAGGAAATGGGAGAATTGATACACAGCAGAGGAGTTTTTTGGGATGATTGTGTAACTCGCAGTAGGATCCGCTGCAGCAAAAGCTACATTCAACGGTATTGTTTTGTATCTCGTCAAAGCCATACAACTTCCTGGAAAGATGCTTGATTTGTAAAGTTTGGACTCAAGAATCTCTGTTAAAAATGCAGATGCGTGCTGTTTATAGAGTTCAAGTGGGGCCATTTCACTCCAGCACCACAAGGGGCTGCTCTTAAAACGTTACATCCATATTGACAGATTTGCAATGGGACCCATTGGAAAACCCCCTTCCTCTAAGAACACAGACTGAAACATGTGTCAGGGTTATTGGTAAAACTGTTTTTAAACTGGACCAGAGAATGATGGCAAAAAAAACAGGAAATGTTTCAGCCCTTAAAAATAAAAACATACAAATAAAGTTTACTTACAGGCAGCATCAGGACAGTTCCTGGGGGTCCTGGCAGACCATCAGCTCCAGGGAGACCAGGTCGACCTGGAAGACCCTTTAAAAGAATTGTGTGTAAAGAGCTCAAAAACGAGCCGAATTTGTTTTGTTCATGAATATTTCTAAAAATTAAATCTTTCCTACCCTCTCTCCAGGATCTCCAGGACTGCCGGGTGGACCAGAGGATCCTGGGGGTCCAGGGAGACCCTATTTCACACAGAAAAACCTTAATTAACTTCCAAATACACATTTTACGCCACGTAGTTTAAGTCTTAAATTTAAAGCCGCCACAAAGAAGATGGGAGGTCTTGTTGATTTTTTATCTGGTATCTGTTTACACTTCAATTTTGACTTTTGACTTGGCTACATCAAGTCAAAGTTTAGCTGTCCTCTGGAGGACACCATCAGAAGGATGTCTGTAAGATCTGTCTTTTACAAAATTTCTTAAATATTAGCGAAAATGCAAACATTTGTATATTCCAATGCAGAAATGACCATTCATTTTCACCATCCATGTAATTTTTTGAACTTGCAATGCAGTAAATAAGTGACATAAACTTTGGCTAACAATATTAAAACAGGAGGTGTTAAAAAGGCAGAATTTGACAAAAACAACTGACTTACCGTTGGCCCCTCAGGCCCAGGCGGACCCTCCATTAGCATACCCTGAAACATACAAACAACAATATAATTACATGCTTCACAGGTCAATATCATGACCTGAACTATAAAGTACAAATCTGAGTACAACTATGTCCCATTATGTACTCAGAAGCTTTCACTGCTTTAGAAGAAACATTTGATCATCAGTAAAAAACCTGCCTCAGGCACACCTGCCTATCAAAACCTGGGCTTTGGGAATTCAATAAACATTCCTTTCCATCCATCATTTGTGCTTCCAATTAGGTCAATGGAAAAGAAAATGAGAATTACATGAAAAAGCAAAGATATCAGAGGTTTTCGTTTATCTGGAGGAACTAAACTGGATGTTGACTATCAAGAAGAAATCCACGTTTTAACAGGAGCATGATGTGGCTTTCTGTTTTAGCTTGGAATTCACCCTGATTTGGAGTGCTATTTTTTTTTTTTTCCAAATGTGGTCTAAGCACTCCCTGTAAACTTTTTTTTTTTGTTCCAATTGTTCCTAACTCCAAGTTTTAGTTAGTAATATGTGATTGTGTTCTAGTGTCACTGTGAAAACACAAAGGGAAATGTACTCATTGTTTGAAAATGTGTATTTTTTTTTATTTTCCTCACAATCTGTATCACTAGAAACGTAATAAAACAAGAAAGTGTAAACACTGTCTAAAGTCCCATCCGATAACAATTTATTATATTGGATCCTTGTCATTTTTTGCAAAGTTTTGTAATAAAAGAAAAGCAACAGACAAAGAAAAAACACATTTTTCAACATGACTACCATGTTTTTTTTTTTTACTTCTAAGCAATGAAAGTAAGACAAGATCAAAAAGAAACCTGATTGTGAAATGACTCTACAATCGAATAAAGGGCCAAACTGACCAGGAGTCAACAGCTACATCATCCGCCTCTATGGGTCTGTCAGCATATCATCAGGTTCATATCATCAGGTTTTACGATGATTGAAAAATGGAAATAATATTTGATTTTGGAAAGCAGTGATGAAAGTCCCTATCAGACAAAGAAGGCTTAAGTGTTTGTCAGAAGAGTAAATCTAATTAACATCTTTTATAGTCATACCTTAAATATTCCTATTGTAGTAAGGCTCTGATGTATAAATAGAGGAAAAACACAGCCTGAATTTAGTTCAAAAGGTTATATTGGGCACATCAGTGGTGCAGGAGTAACAAGTCAGACCCTCAAAGGCCTTGGTCTTTGAAGCAGCTATCACAGGTTTAATTCCTGCCCCCAATTTCTCTCCCAACTTCCTGGTCAGGTCTTTTTTCTAAGAAATAAAGTCCTCTAGTGTAAAAACTTGCATAATTTTGCAATTTTTGTATTTTATAGCAGCGATTTCATTCGTTATGCTGTTTGACTTAATGCCTTTACTTGTAGCTTTGGTGTAATATTAAAAGCAACATAATGTAACAGTTACTTTGTTACTATATAACAAAATATTTTAGGCTTAAATAAATAAGATAGAGTACACTAGCTGTGATCCGTTCTTATAGAGATTGGTCATTATTTCTCAAGCAATACTTAGAGAATGTTTAGAGAATGTCCTATAAATGTGCAGGTCAGGCACCATCCTGAGAGGAAAGTTTTAGATTTTTCTATATTTAGCTTTATTCTTCATTCCATCAGTTCTCATTATCTTCTCTGTCACTGCTGAAGGAAAATATTCCCATCCAGTCTTTAACTATGGAAATGTGTATTCAGAGTGGATGCATGTTGCCCATTTATTAGTAAAAGTCTTTGGAAACCATTCACCTTTTTATTTCAGTTGTGCTTCCACTTAGAAACACATGTGCTTGGTCATGTGTATACTAAGCTCAGGTCTTTGCTATTTGTTTGAAGTGAAACAGCTGTAGGTCCATTAGGCATATTCATTCTATCTGTGTATACATTTCCAAACTCACCAAGTGAGTCATCGCTACAGATGTGTGCAATAGTCTAATTTAGAGTCAGTATGAGCCCAAAGAATTATTTAGTCCCTCTTCTTTGTATCTTCCTGGTCCATGTCCCTTTCCACCTCCTGGTTTCCACTCAACCTGTGTTTAGAGTTTATTGACAATCCCTGCATGGCCCTTTTCCAAATGTTTACACTGAGCATCCATGAGTGAGGCCATGCTAAGACGCTTCAACAAGGAAGGTTTAGTTATCCATAATAAATACATTTGGAAGGAACATTCTTAAACAACGGATGGCTCATGTTTACGAGTGCTTCACACATATGTGCAAATGTCCTCAAACTGTGCACACATGCAGCTTATATCTGCCGCTTGGGTCTGTTGTTAAAACAGAGATACTCACAGGCTCAATAACAGCAGGCTCTCCCTTCTGTCCTTTCTCGCCGCGGGCGCCGTCAACCTGCAAATAGAACATACAAAAATATGTCACTTTTAGCTTCTCTCCCTCATTTTTATCATAGAATCCTCCTAATTGCTAGCATCATATCTGTCAAGTCACATCTTTGGATTTACCTGTCCAAAATAATCAGTCTCTGCAGGCAGCTCTTTGCCTCCGTATTCTTCATATAAATCATAGTCTGCTGGATCATAGTTCAAGAGGTCCTCCTTGAACTTTTCTGTGTAGTCATCAGCTCCATCGATGGTAAGGTCGTCCTCAGTTCCCCCACCGGCTGCAGCGCCAGCAGAGGCTGAGCTCCCTCCAGAAGTCGAAGATCCTCCAACGGTTACAGAACCGCCGCCAACAGACCCTCCTCCAGTAGATCCACCTCCAATAGTGATGGTAGAGCTGCTGCTGCTGCTGCCTCCACCACCGCCAACTACAACGGTACTGCTGCTGCCGCCGCCTTCACCAACTACAATGGTACTGCTGCTGCCGCCGCCACCACCAACTACAACGGTACTGCTGCTGCTGCTCCCGCCACCACCAACTACAACAGTACTGCTGCTGCCGCCGCCACCTCCGCCAGCTACAACTGTACTACTGCTGCTGCTTCCTCCTCCTCCACCACCACTGACTAAAACAGTACTGCTGCCTCCTCCTCCTCCACCACCACCGAGTACAACAGAACTGCTACTGCCTCCACCATCTTCAGTAGTGTAGTAGTTGTAATCGTAGCCATCATCATAGTCGCTGTAAGATGATGTTCCACCCTGTTAATGAAAAAAAAAGTGAGAATAAAGAACCTTACAAAAACATGTTTTAGATAGTTCTAAGACCTCACATTTCATCGCATCTTGACCTCAGTATCTGGTTTTGTAGAACCACAATTGTGCAAATATAACTGCAAGTTCCCTCTTCTAGCTTTGCAAACCTATTGTAAAGACATTCTTGCCAGTTCTTTGCAGAATAGCGTAAGTTATTCCAGAAGTTCCCCATTGTGGGACAAAAAAGGGATTTTCTATTCTACTCTAGTCTAAGTTTGGTCTGACCACATCGGGACTATATATATAAAAATCAGCTTTCCCGTGTTGTTTAAGTTGGATTAAAGTCTGAACTTTGGTTCAATTACAAACATTATCATGTCTTCATTTAGACCTTTGCAGCACTGGCTGCATGTATAAAGCTCTTGTCCCATTGGAAGTTAAGCCTCTGCACCAGTTCACGTCTTTTACACTAACAGTCTACCCTTTGCATAGCTCTTTCTACCTTCCTGCAAATGTCCCTATCCATGCTAAATAAATTGTCTACAAGATACTCTCACTAGCTTTTTTCAATATGTACTTATGCTGTTTCAAGCATATGCTTGGGACTTTAAAGTGCTATACCATATGCTTTTTTTCTGAATGATGAACTAAACAGTTCAGCAATACATATTTAATGCATGGGATCAATTTACATTAAAGTTCTTTGACAAATCTCTCTACACACCAACTAAATTTCCTTTTGCAGCGAATTGGTTCCATTGGAGAAGAGAAAGGGCTCAAAAGAAAAAGGCCAGTAACACATTTCAGACATTGTTTTAGGTAAAGACTGCTATCTGTCATTCAAGCTTGCAAAACTGTTGCATCCCTAAAAAACCTATTAGAATACACTATCAATATGTTACAGTTAAACTCCTTCAAACTAAGCACTACTCTATGTTGATCTATCATATTAACTTCTAGTAAAAAAACATTAACTTTAACAAGGAGTACATTCATTTTGAAGGGAAGTTTTTATACCTGCAGTAAAATACATTCAATCCGACTTTGCTTGGCATTTAACTTACTGATGTTGAGTTGCGAGAGATTGTTATTGTCGATCCACCACCGGTAGTGATAACCTTCCTGTCCACTCCAGCCCCAGCTTCCAGATCAATCCTTCCCCCTGCTCCCAGATCCACCTCACCCCCGGAGCCAATGCTGGTGATGGTGACACGCTTAGTGGTGTCGCCGTCGGGTGCGGGGGTCGACTCGCCATAGTCGTAGTTGGTGTCGCCGTAGGGGTAGTAGTCGTAGGAGTCATCCCCTCCGGTGCCAGTGGCCGAGCTGCTGGAAGACGAGCTGGATGACGATGAGCTGGATGATGATGAGCTGGTGGAAACAGACGCAGAGCCACCAGCCTGCCTAACAACTTCCTCAACCGTGGAAACCACGCTGCCGACGGTCTCCTGTAAGTCAATGTTATCACACAAATTGTTAACCATTACTTTCAAAGATCAGTGTCGGCAAGTAGTTTATGAGGTATTAAAGTTGACTACCTTGACTTCTTTGTTTGTCGTCTCTGTGTCGGAATATGAGTCGTAGACCTTCGAGTTAGGGTTGGATTCAATGTCATCATAATAAGGGTATTCATAGTAGTAGTTGTCCTCCTCTACAACCTAAAGTAGGCAGACATTGGGATTGTAACTGGCAGGAGAGGACAACAATCAACGATTAACATGACTCTGGATGATTGGCCATCAATCAGAATTGTTTTATACTTTCAGAATCACCAAAAACCTGCAACTACTCACTGACTAATTGGTTCTTGATTTTTCTAATGAGTCTCTCACTTGTTTCCAAAGTGGAAATGATTTGTACACCTTGAGGTTATTTAACAATTCAAAAACCAGTACTTCCTGTTTTGCAACTTCTTTGACTTGTTTATTTAGCATGTGAAGGTGTAACGCCTTTCAGGCTACAGGGCAGTAAAAACGGCATGTGGAAAAAAAATCAGTTTTCTGAACTTTATTGATGCAGTTCAATGATGCAGACTGGACTGCCCAGATAGCCCTGTTCTTCACACTCAGCACTTTCCCCTGGCCTGGCTGAGTGCAGTTCTCTAACCCAAGCAAAAAGCCTCTTCAATGTTCAAGAACCAATGATGATTTGAAACAAGTCCAGGAGGTAATTATAGGTTGAGAGAAATAAATGGGAGAAGAAGAAGAAAACCTTTAACTGGTTGTTGGGATTCTGAGACGTCCACCATTACAGTAAAATACAAAAATCGATGAGTTCTACTTCAAGTTAAGGTATAAGGATGCCATAAGTACACAGAGTTACATTTTGTAAGAGAATGAAGGGAAAAATAAAAATCGGCTCCGTATTGATCTCTTTTGTTTGCCACCTTTCAACCGATAGGTATTCTTGGTGTTAAGGATCAACGTGTACTTAGAGTTACATAATCTGAATCTTTCTTTATAGCTGTATTGCATTGGTATTAATTCTATTTGATCAAATAAATAGATGAAAATTTGACCTGTCTTAGAGAATGCTTTATTGTGAAATGTTGCTGTATAAATAAACTGTTAAACATCCCTGTCAGTGTAGAATGGGTTTTTCCCGGTTATAATGAAGTTCTCCCTAGTTTTCTCCTGCTGCCTAATTGAATTTTGTGCATTTTTTATGAGGATAAGGAGCTTTCAGTTCTTGTTGGATTTTTTTCTTCTCTTCAATAATCAGCATGCACACAGTGCAATGCTTACAGCATACAGTAGAGGAGAGCAAGCAGCATATCATCATTTCTAAACTTTATTGACTAACTGCACAGACTGATAACCCAGTTCTTCTCACTCAGCATTTTTCCTCTGGCAGCATTGATGTTCTCGAGCATGGGCCAAGGGGCTCTTTTGCAAAACCAATCATCATTTTAAACAGACTATCGCAGGCAATTACAATTACAGGAAATATGTAAAAGCAAACTATAAACACTGAATATATGAAGAAGGAGAAAAGGACTGAACTCACATCCTCATCCGTATTGGGGTCCTGGTTTTGTGGTCGGTCGGGTACCGGCACCTCACAGTCGGGGCTGTAGTGCTCACAGTAGTCATATGCAGCCCGGTGGTCTGCTACAATCATTAGCTGCTGGATGTCTCCCTGGAAACCACAGAAACAGAAAGTCAGAGGGTCAGCTGGAAACATCTCAGGGAAACAATTGTCTAATAAACAGATTTCATACTAAGACATTTTCACAGATAATTTTTTTCCCCCAATTTTTGGGAGGAGGTTGCTTTAAAGACATCTGTATATAAACGTGATACAAGGCTGCTCCATTACAGGCAGAATTGAAACTGGGTCAAGATGAGGCTGACTAAATCATGAGGAACGTGCCGCATCCAAGTTGTACAGAGTTACAAAACAATATAGAGCAACAGAGAAATGTTACACAAGGAAAGCGTCTTTAAGGAGTTTAGGCAGACTGTGCGAGCTCTACCCTGATGTGCGTGACACATGAGGGATTTGGCCTGAGAGCCTATTGTGGAGACGATTGGTTCAGATTTGCATGTGCAAAAACAGAACACAGGAGGAGATCTGGAGACTCCAACAGCTGATCTGGTTGGTAGAAGACAGGGGAATTTAGAAAAAAAAAAAAAAAAGAAAAAAGGCTCTGAAAGTGACAGAGCGGGCAAGAGTGATAGAAAAAAAATCAGAGTAAGAGAGAGGGAACAAGAGAGAAAAACAGCGGCTCAGAAGGATCCCCAGGCTACACGGGGAGCTGGCTGCGTTAGCCACATGTTTCTCACAAGAATGCGCATGGCACTAAAACACTGTTCTGCATCTATCCAAATATGTCCGGCTCACACTTTCAAAGCCAGTGATGTCATCCACATTAATCAAATGCGGAGGCAACATGGATGAAAAATAGATATTTTATTTGTATTTCCACAGGATGCAAGAACCATGAACCAAAACAAATGATGCATGTTTTTAATTAAGGAACAACCGAGAGTTTGAAGTCTGTCACACTGTCCTGCAGCTAGAAATTTACTGAGGAAAGATTTGTCTTTCTGCAGCGAGTAGGGAAAAAAAATGCCTTGTATTTGTGGTGTAACCAGTGACAATTCACTAGGGAGCACCACTCCCAGGGTTTTACTAAAACATGCAACACTTAAGAGCCGGTCTCAGATCCTTTAACAAAACCTCACAAAGCGCCCACAGGACGCTGCCTCCTGCTCTCTCTTTGGTTTATGTGGACGGAGGAGTTTAGGCTGCAAAGAACTAGCCATAACATGATGTTCATACATGGGAGCAGACAAATGTTAGGTATTTTTACTAAAAGGTGTTTTCGACATGGATGGTTATTTTAACTTTTGCTTTAAGTTTATTTAAGCTGCCCTTTACAGATGGCACACACAAATTAGACTCGCATGATGAGTTTTTTTATTTCTTATTAAACTCAAACAGGGTCAAATGTTTACAAACTGGTTTAGAAATATAAAAAAAAAACTGTCTTAAATTGGGCTGTTTTTTTTTGTTTGTTTTTTTTGTTTTTTTAATCAGGAAGATATTTCCAAAAACAAAGAGAAGCTGGTTTTGATGATGTTGTTAAGCTTTAGAAATGCTCTTGGTAACGGCCCTTTCTGTGCCCCAATGAAAAACATTTAAAGCCCATAACAAGAAACCAAACAATTCAAACAAGAGAATCGTGGTTATTTTCCCATTTTCCTGGTACAGTTAGAACTCGTTGATGTGGATAAAGGCAGTTTGCTTCCTTGCAGCTTGTTGAAGGGAATTCATATAAAAAATTAGTAGGTATGAATACGTTTAAGCTTGTTAGCACATTTTCCAACCTGTTTGGATTTTAGAAAAGCCACAATAAAGACAAATATCTTTTCTTAAATGATGTTGTATTACCATTCCACCCTGGTTCAAAATTCACAATTCCAGGCTGAATTTGAACGTAAGATTCCTTATAATTGTGATTTATTAACATTTCTGAAAAGACTTAGATGCTTTAAATGCAGTTAAAAATGTATTTTTCTAAAACAGAGGGTTTTTGTGTTTTAAAGACGTGATGATGGATGAGTCCCTGGGTAGCTTGAACATTGATCATTCCTGATTCATTGCATTGTTTCCCACCAGCGTAAAATAAAAACAGCAAGCCTTAAATGTGGTCAGTATGTTACCGTAAACTGCTACATGGGGAGATGCATGATGATGGTTTTAATTTGTGTGACTGATTTTTGTCTTCTAACATTTTTTTCCCCCATTTTTTTATTTAAAGTCTTTCATAGCCAAATAATTTAACCTTATTGAAATGTTCATTTGGTTTAATCTGAACCAAAAGCTGTTCACATATACAGGTGAATAACAGGCTGTGGATAAGCTTAAGGATAATTCTGTTAAGTTGTTATTCCTCATTAAACTCTAAATCATAATCAATGTAGCTTTGTTTAAGCTCAAAGAAAATTCAATCAATAGTATTTTTTGGACCTAAACCAATGAAAGTGTTTTAAAATAAAATGTTCTTCGATAGGATGATTTGCTTCTGCAATAAACAGGCTGTATTTTTGTAAACTGCAGGCTCCTGAATATAATCAGTTTTGCTTAGCTTGCACCTCTGCTAATTTTCTCAAATAAGCTGAACTTGCCCGTTTCCTCTATTCATGTTTAAACCAAAAGTGAATTTGTCCAGTATAGTGAATATCCATTCAAACTTTCCATCAGTTTGATGTTTTTCTCTGTTATCCTACTAAAACTGTACGCCTCAGATGTACTGAAGAGGATGATGGATGTTCACTGTTTGCAACAAAAAAAAAAAACGAGGTCAAACTCAGTGAGAAATAAGCCTCGTTGTCTGATGCTGCTTTTTCCTTCAGATTCCATTCTTGTGGTTTTCTTCTTCTTTTGTCTTTGTTCTGCTTTTTTTTTTTGTATCTCCCAGAGCAGCCAGAGGAATGTCAGAGTAAGATTATCCGGAATGGTGGGAACCTAAATTTGGCAAGATGAAATGATTTATCATATAGCAAAGATTTAATAAGAACACGCTGAAAGCATCATGGGAGAGTGCTGATTATGATATGTGACATGAGCACAGCAATATTGAGAGGAGTTTACAGCACAAAGAAAAGTGCTGCTAAAGGCGGATTAGTAGTTTGCTAAAGGTAAGGCTGCTGCTAACCCTGAAACAAAGCATATTGACATGTCTGCCTAAATATATTGTTTAATTAAACTAAATATAAGTTGAGCTGAAATTCTTAAGGAGCAGTGATTTAAGGCTCAGCCTGACAGAAATGGTTCACAGAAATCTGTTTGCTAATGAAAAGACAAAACAAAAAAAAAACAGTTTGATGAGTGCAGCTTTGCAATATCTATGCCTTATCAATATTTCAAAATATCTTATATTGCAGTTGATACATGCATGCAGACACCGATTCATTTATGCGTTCAGCATGTAGCATGCAAGGCTATATGCAACCATGTTTTCATAGGTTTTCAGTTGATCAGTTTATGGAACCTGACTGCCCTTAATATACTGTAGCACCTTCAGCATATATTGTCATCTTTGTTAAAGCACGGAGAACCATGAAGAAAGCGACTGGTGTAACAAAATAAAGAACATAAACCTCTTTAAAATGGTAAAATGTTTGAAAATTAAATAAATATATGTGTAAGATACTGTTTGAAAGGAAATAGTATTTTCTCTGACATACAGACTCATGTCTGTGATTCACTCAGACTTGGTGAGAGAGCAGATAACAGGAAGGCAGCATATTTCTCTATATTATCCTTTTGGGCTGTTACTATCAAACTGTTATATACCTCGGAATAGAATCATTTGACTAACTTTCAGTATCAATTTCAAGAGGAATATTAAAGTCGTTTTTAACATCTGCCATTTTAACCATGCTGACACCAGCTCTAAACTCATGTTGTTGATGTTTGAAATGAAAGATTTAGAGGCTCCCACATTAAAAAATAATTAACTGTTCAAAAGGTGCAGAAAAAATACTTTTAATGCTTTTGTTTTAGTAACAAAACACTTTTCAACCCCTTACCTACTATACTTAACGTTATCCTTAAAAATTCCAACCAAATAATGTTATTTTTAAATAAACAGATGGATTAGAATGTGTCGTTCATGTGTATAAAAACACCAGGAAACTTGGGCATAATACTCATTAAAAGGGGAGAGAAGAACATACTGTGACAGATGAACTTTACTTTATAGAAGTCAGGAAAATAGTAGAAGAAATAAATGACTTGTCTAAGCTTGAAAATGTTTTAAACACCTGGAACTTTGACAGACAATGGTGGATGAAGAGCCCAACTTTTTCATCCAAAACACAGAGGGAGGAGAATGAAGAGGCAAGTGTTAAATATCACTGTTAAAAAAAAACAGCAACTAGTTTCCGGGGCAACTATTTAGTATACATCTTTACGAGAGGGAACATTAATTTTGGAGGGTTCCGGAGATGATTTCAAGATGCTAACGTGGGAAAGTCATGTAAAGACTGAAACAGATCAGGATTTTCTGAGCCTAAGAGTATTTAGTTTACCAATAAAAGTTCCAACAGCATAATTATTTTTTTAAAAGGGTAAAGGCTTTATTATAGCTTGTTAATATGTATATGATTCAGCCTGAACCAATGCCTTTTCGAGTTCCAGTTTCATTAAGTCGTGTTTGTAAGGATTAAATCTTAGTCAAAGCATTTTTAGGAATGGAAATGTCATGAAAGCTGTAAACAAAATTTCGTTTTGTATACACCCTGTGTATACAAAATGGCAATAAAAGTTGTCTAAGTCTAAGTCCTAAGTCTAAGTCTTTAACATAAGATAAAACAAAATGAGACATTTAAACTATTTTTAAAGTTTTGATCCACCAAGTCCAACACTGATTTTCTGTCTTCATGTCACATGTTACCTTTCATCACACATCTTCAAAGCCAATGGTTATTTAAGCCCATCCAGTATTCTAATTAAAAGCTGATAATAATTTGTATACATTTTTAAAATGCTGCTGATTGGTCAACTTAGTTTATTCAGACATTAAGAGACATTTCCTGCTGTTGTATAAATGGGGCTTTACAATGCCTGCTGCCACTTCCGTGCATTCACAGTCAGACATTAAGGATGTAATGAAGCTGATCATTAAA